ACCTGTAAGGACTGGGACACCTGGAAGGAGGTCATTGACATCACGCGCCACATCAAGAATCGACTTCTGAGCCGAGGAGGTTTTTCACCAGCACAAAGGGTCTTCGGCTACCAACAACGTATACCAGGTGGTCTCGTGTCGGAAGGTGCACAGAGGACCTGGCAGTTCAAAGCCGTTGCGCAGGGAGAGCGCGGCCAAAGCGTTCCATGAGATATTGACTGCCGTCAAGCTGTTCGAGCTGCTGCAACCCATGGACCGCGTCTACATTTTGATTACCAACCTGGCCAAGCAGTTTTCTTCTGGAGTTATAAAAAACTTTCATATGGTAAGGCCAGAATCCGTGATTTAAAAAAAGTCAAAAAAATCAAAACAAGTCAACTGGGAAAAGTCAAAGTCAATCAAAAGTCAAATTGAAAAGTCAAAAAAAGTCAAAAAGAAAAAGTAAAAAAACAAGTCAACCATAGACCACAGCTCGAAAAAAGGAAAAAAAAAAAAAAAAAAAAAACGAAAAAAAAAAAAAAAAAATCCCAAAAAAAAGTCGAAAAAAAAGTCGAAAAAAAAGATCCAAAAAAGTCAAAACTGTGGCTCCTCGCCTTGGCGGACTACTGGAGTCAAGAAAAGTCAAAAAAGTCAAAAAATAAAAAATAGAAAAAAAGTCCACCGTAGGCCACAGCTCGAAAAAGTCAAAAAAGGAAAAAAATCCCAAAAAAAAAAAGTCGAAAAAAGTTTTCAAAAAAGTCAAAAAGTCAAAAAATAAAGTAAAAAAAAAGTCCCCCCAACCAAAAAAAAAAGGTCAAAAAAAAGTAAAAAAGAAGTCGGATCTGGGCAAATTGACTTTTTTTGACTTTGAAATTTGCTGATTTGACTTTTTTTGACTTTGACTTTTGGGATTGACTTTTCCCTTTTTTGACTTTTTTAATTTAGAAAACATGCTCTTTCCAATGAAAGTTTTTTATAATTCTGGAGACGAGGCACCGACCCAGCTCGACGGGCCGCCAATGCCTTTTGGCATGGCTCAGCACGGGTCATTGCGGTTCAACTTCCGACCGCAGTATGGCTCTCCTACAACCACTACCTCATAAAGGCCGCTCCAGAGAAGCTTCGACCAGCATCTGAAGAAGAACGTCTTTCACTCTCTGGTTGGCTCGAAGGCATTGGACATGCCAAGAAGCAGTTCGAGTAGGACAAGGTCAAGGGGGTGATCGACCTGAGCAAGGAACAAGAGACGCCACCAACCGATACCGGTCAAGATGGAGACTACTGGACTCAATGTGGAGACTAACTATTGGATCCGTGTTCGTGAAAGCACCAGGAAGACCTACTTCCATCCTGAAGATCCAGCCGGACATCCATGTCCATTTTCATTGGAAGAGATCGAAGATTGGTGTCGACGTGCGATGATCCGCCCAAATCACGGAACAATGACGGAGGAGACAACATGGAGGGACAAGGACTTACATTTGGAACCCCAACACAAGTCAACTTGGACAGGGAAAACATGGTTCCGCCTCCGGGAGAATGAAAACCAAAAAGGGGTGAAAAGATGTGAAACCTTGCCACCACCACTCCGACGAGTTCGACAGAAGGCCACCATGGATCCGGAGGGAAACCAAATCCCACAAGAAGTGCAACCACCAATGGCAGAACCCACAAGGAATACACCGGAGACAATGCTGGAACCCATTGAGGAGTCTGAGATGATCGACATCAATGAGGATGAGAAAACCGCCATCGAGCCTCCGCCAGGACTACTACCACACCAGGTTCGGCTTCCCAGAGTGATGCCTCTGTCGGGCTCGCCTCAGACTACACTCCATCAATTGCACCCACATCAGTCCACTCCAGAGGCGAGGTAGACAAACGTCCTGGAAGTGAAACCACGGAAGATCGATGGGAGACCATCCCACCATTGAAGAGATCTTGACTGGAGCTACTCGAAGTTCTACATCTTCAACTTAATCCCCGTGGAGGAACTCGACCAGGTAAAAATCGAGAATGCTCGCTGAAAGACTTCAAGGGCAAGGACTTAGAGAGATTTCAACAAGCCATCCACAAGGAGATCAACAACAACCTCGGCACTGGAGCTTATGAGATTTTGTCACCGACGGAATCCTCATCGATAACGAAGTACAAGCCCGACAAGATCATGAAGTCGCGCTATGTTTTCACTTGCAAGCCCATCGAGGACTTCGCCTTGGAGGACGCCAGATCAGCTGACATCATCTTGGACTCCAACACCGAGAACGGACCAGCAAAAGCCAAATGCCGACATGTCATGATGGGATTCAGGGAACCAGACTTGTTGAGTCTCGAAACTAGCACACCACAGGTCCATCGAGACTCAGTCATCTTCGCAACTCAGGCCTTGGCATCAAGTTGAAGAAGACCTGCTATGGACTCACAGATGGCCCACCCGCCTGGTTTAAGCACATCGTGAAGTACCTGACCAAGGAATTGGGATATCGCCAATCCATTGTGGACCCATGCCTCTTCTTCCTGGACAAAGAGAACCTCGCGCTCGTGGAAGACAACGACGACAAGGACTCCGGATCCATCGATGGCATCGTTGCACTGGCAACAGATGACCTACTACACGGAGGTTCACAACGACACCTGGACAGAATGGAGACCCTTCGGAAAAGATATACCTTAGGTAAGTACACCTGGGGGCATGGACGATTTGTTGGAAAGGACTTCACGCCAGCTCCGGACAGCTCTATCCGAATCGACCAGGAGTTCTATGTCAAAGCGCGCGTCCAAGAGATACAGGTCAACAAGGAAAGAAAGAGACGCAAGTACTCTCAATGTACACCGCTCAAAATTGAACAACTCCGAACGCTGGGAACTCTGGCATGGGTGGCCAAGGAGACTCGAGCAGATCTCGCAGGAAAGGTTGCGCTGGTGCAACAAGCCTTTCCCCGACCAATGATTCGGGACATCATCATGGCCAACACCATCGCCAAAGAGGCCCTGGCATCACCACAGTTGGGGATCCGAGTCATGCCCATCCCGCTAGAACGACTTCGCGCAGGGGTCGTGACTGATGCCGCTTGGGGAAATGCTCGGGAGTTCGGCCAATATCTTATCTCGAGGACTCTAAGACTGATTGGTGGGAAGAACTACCAGACCAATGGATCCGACACCACCGAGTTCCCAGGGTCACCAGTTTCCATCCAGCTGCAGCTCCTGACGGACCCGATCTACATGACCTCCTACCAGATCGATGGACAGAGGTACAGGTGGACAACAACAAGAACACACTTCAAGATGAGTGGACATCATCGTCCAGTATAACATCGTTGACGGCATCGCCATGGACAGGAAAGACGATTTTCAAGAAGCAGAGCCCGGGACAACATCTGGAAGCTAAGTTGATCCATGGGGGCTATGAACAACTCCTCAAGTTGTACAGCCAAGGGGGTGAGATCACTTTCTTCTATGACAAGGCACTGCCAGAGTCACAGTCCCTTCAAGACTCCACATTGGCAGCTTGGAAAAGTTATCGCCTAAAACGGCGGACCGTCAACACCCTCAGCTCAGAGACACAGGCTCTGGTTCGAGGTCTCGGATCGGTTCATTGGTACCGAGTCGTCATCCTAGAAGCAAAGGGACTAACCCTCTCTGCAAGACAGTGGCAGACCGAGGTAGCCCGCTTGCCGTTCATTTGCGCGACGGATTCCAAGTCCCTGTTCGACACCATCAACAAGGACACGAATCCCGCTTCTCAATGTGAGGACAAAAGGACCTCAAAGTAGATTTCGTTGCAATCAGGGGTTCTAACTTTTCAATCAGGGGTTAGTATGGTGGCAAAGGTGGTGGCAAAGGGTGCAAGGAAAAACAATTTCTGGAATTGATGCCATTCTGAATCAAGCTTTGGCGTGGGATGATCGTTGCAGCCATGTGAAGATGGCTGAAGAAAGAAAGCGGTTTCTTGATTGATACTTAATGTCATTATATGTCATTCTCGTTGTGATAGTTGAAGTTTATTGAGTCCAAATTTTGGTTGGACAAGGTATCTCAGATCATTGAATGTAGCGCCAGCTGAAGACCATCAAGTGGTGGTTCCTGTCTCTCAATCTGTGACCTCGGATCAAAGAAGGCTGGCTTACCTTAGAAGCCTGGCAACTGAGGAACCCCCAGCTCCTGCTGAGTTCATTGTAGACTTTTCGCTGGAGTCAGTGCTTTTTTTCAGCAACCATTGTGATTTGCATCGGGAGTTGTCAGCAAACAGCAGCAAGCAAGTGAATGTTGATAGATCGCGGCCAAACTATGATGGTCGCAAACGCAAACTGCTGGCACGGAGTCTAGACAGAGTTTCGTACCTCAGATTGGATTAAGATGGAATGAAAGTGTTTCACAGGAGCAAAGGTGGTTTTGGGCTGCATGGGGCTAGCCCAATCTTTGCTTTTTGCATGTGATAAGGCGCGTGGACAATGGCCTGGACCGCAAGAGGATAGAAGGGCTTGTGCGAGGATCATGTCGCTGTAGCAAAGGTTCCTGCTATGGTCTCTTTCAGCAAATGGTTGACAAGTTGATGGAGTTTCTACATATATTTTGGAGGTTGTCTAAGACATTCCAAGATGAGTATGTCAACTGATCGCTCATTCAGATTGTTTGTTTTATTATTACTTGTTCCTGCTTGTTTTCGGGTTAGGTTCACAGGAGCTATGCAGTAAGCTCGAAAGTCAGGTGAGGCAACTTGTTCGAGATCCTGCCGCCACATGCCGCCGGACATGGAACCTATTGGGCAAGCGCATTGCACCCAAGTGCCTGGCAGCCCTGTTGGGCATAGGGAACGAGAGGTTGTCAAGACTAATGGCAGGGCAGGTTGATCACAGATTCAACATTTGGGGTGGGGTGTCTCGATTTCAGTTGGCTGCATTGAGCTTCAGTTTGATACACTTGTTCACTTGTTCATGTCCAATTCAACTTATTGATCAACCCTTTTTAAGCCGTGGTTTAGACCCAAGGCACAGAAAAAGAAGGTCCCGTTCAAAGCCATGGCCGTAGATGAATACCTGCTTTCAATATATGTGTCTGCTGCTGGCATGCTTCCAACAGAGTATCTTGATTTATAACTTTGGGTGTTTTTCAGGACAACATGGCAAACAGTTAGAGGCCAGCTGGCGATCATGACATTTGAGGTTCAAGAGAGCTGCTCGGAAACGTCGCAAAGCTGAGAAAGAAGAGAAAGAGGTTCTATCGGTTTCCTTGGGCGAACACGGACAAGAGTCGGATGGATCCTCAACCAAATTCAATCTTCAAAGTGGACCAGGGACCAGTAAATTTAGATTGACCAAATTGCGGGTTCGTTCACTCAGTGAGGAGGTGACAATACCGACGGCGATGATGTGGCAGAAGAAGACACCTTGCTCCTACCTGAAGAGGCGCTGGACGGAGACGAAGAGCTCCAGCTTCACATGCTGAGTTTGAACAGCGGGTATACAAAGCATCATAGCAGCTATGTGTTGGTTGGTATTTGGGTTTGGGTAAGGACATCCAACCACACAGCCAGGGTTTCAGCCAGACTCTCAGGTATGTGGGCACAAATTGGTCGCGGGCTATTGATGAGCTGCCGTGCAGGTGGCTACCGCCTGGCTCCATAGCGATGCTATGGTGGGAGATGAAGCAGCATGCATCAAGCATGGATGTGTCGTAGCCGGATTGCACTACAGTGTCAAGCAGTGGCAAGTGCCCCATGCATGGAATACTTGTCATTGTGCCAGGTATATGACATTCTGGCGGCAGTTCAAGAGCAAATGGTGCAAGATATTGAAATTCTTGCCGCCAAGCGATCACTCTGCATGTGATGATTGCGTTTCATACAAGGAGTTATTTGCTGAGGCGACAGATGCTAGAACAAAAGTTATCAAAACAATGATTGAAAGGCGTGTTAGTCATTGGATGTCATAGGTTCAGTCTCCCAATGCCCACCCCAACAATGTTGAGTAAGGATGACGCAACACGGCTGGAATTGGCCCGGGGCTACAAGGCCCACCTGGACCATATCCGAGATGACAGAGCTCTAGAGGAGCACCTTCAATCTTACTCCCCACTGAAGGCACCACCAGGCCAAGCTTCCTGCATGATGATCCACATCGTACACTGGCAGCATTTGTTTGAAACTGATTGGGTTTGCTCCCATTTTGTTCAATTTCTTAGGGCTGTGAACATGAGGATGGCATGGACCAAGCAAAATGGTCATGCCCAAGAAATAAGAAGGCCATGAATGCGAAGGCCCTGAGCGGATTTCAGAAACCACGCTTCAAGGTGGAAGGAGTGTGGGTGCACAACACAGTATTGGCGTTGTGGATCATCGATTGCCGAGTGGCATCAGACAGTAGCATGGTACTCGAGACCCTATCCAGAACAATACAAGTGGTGGGGGACGCATGTGAGAGGAAAGGTGTAGCCTTCCCTAGTCAGCTATGTGTGTGGGTTCTTTGGACTTATTTGCAACATGTTCAATGGAGTGCATCACTCTTGCTTGTTTTTGAGATGGGCCAGTGAGTCATTACTAAATGCAGCTGAGGCTGACAACTGTGTCAGGGAGGCAAAAAACGCCATGGTCATAAAGTATTTGGCCATGGCCCTCAGCCGCACACCCCTGAACCTCGCGGCCTTACTTTTCTCCAAAAGAGGCCACACACACAACGCGTTAGGCATTTCGGCAAAATTCAGAATTCAGGTGCGCTAAACCAAACAGGAATCAGGGAGCTAAGTCAGCTTGACTTGACAGTTTTTGGGGCCCTGCACAACTAAGATCAGATTTATGGCATCATTGCTACCTGCTTCAAATACATTTCCATAATCTGCGATGAAGCTGATATTGTGGAGTCTGGACCTTAAGACTGTGTTTGAACATGTTTGAACTATGTCTTGGCACACACACACACATAAGCCACTTTCAACAAAGATGCACCCCAACAGGAAATTGAAGACCGTTTTGCACCGCATCAACATCAAGTCTTGGATTGGTGCTGATGCTGAAATCATTATCGAGTATGTCAATGGGGTTCGAGATTGGAAACAGTGGTGTCCTGACCAAACTCAACCCATCTCAACCCCAAAACTCATGTGCTCTGCAGCTTTGTTTTGCATCGCATCGTCCACCACGAGCTCTTTGCCCGCCAGGTTGTCCATTGCGCCGGTGAGCATGAGGGGAGGCCTCAGAGATGATGACACAGGGATCCACTGTTTCCTCCTTCTGAGGAGACAAGGTGCCTAGTTACTAGTCTTCTTTGCTAAAGACAGTTCAAGGTCGAGGGTTGTGACCTTCCACAAAACGTCCAAGCCAACATTGTCAAGACTGGTAAAGCTGCACCTCGTCTACCAGACCACCCGTTGGATATTATTGGGCTTTTGAAGAGAAACGCTTCAGATGACAACTTGTGCCAGGCAGGGATTGAACTGCAAACAAGAAGGCCCATCAAAACCATGTCCTGTCAGGAAGCACTACTTCTTTGGCCATACCACTACACTTCCATGTTGGGCCGATTGCCCAACACTCCTCGTCCGCTGAAACAAGTGAAGGCCAACAAACGAAAGGACTACTTGAAGTTGGCAGAAGTCTTGCTGGCAAGACAGCCGAATGAAGTCACTCGACGCTCTGTAGAGTTTTTGGCTAGGACATGTGATGAGGGTCATGAACCTGATCCAGTACCCCCTTTGCCTTGGTTGGATACCAGTGTTCCTGTGGCGCGCAACCCCGGGATGCCGAAGCTAGTTGGTAGAATCGCACCAGCGATGAGGTTTCACGCAGACCACGACATCACTCAGTGATGACAAGGGAGTTTGCACTTACTTCAAATATGTCAATTCTTCGTGCTGTTGAGCAAAAACACTTTATAATAAACGTTTCCTTCCAGTCTTGAACCCTACTCTTGTTTGGCTCATAGGCTCCAAGGTAAGCTTTCTGTAGAAGATCCATTGGCTAGAGTGATGCTAGCTGCCAGGCAGGACATAGAAACAAACACTTGCTTTGCATCAAGCTCCATTAACTTTGCTTTGCATGAAAAACCATCTAAACCCATTGAAGCTGGTCAGGGACAATCACCGCTTTCCCGAGGGCGAGGCTGGCCACTCTTGAGGGCAAAGATGGTACACGAGTGACCTGAAAGACATGTTCAGGAGCGGGAGCGAGTCAAACAGCTTGTCCAGGACAGTGCGGCATCCGTTTGTTTTCACTGTTTGCCATAACTTTGCAGGACATGCTCGACTTAGAAGACTCGCAAGTAGACGAATCCATATTTGAGCAGGCCTGTTTCCTTCCTCATGCCTTGAAAACTGACTTGTCAATGCCAGATGGTCAACTGGTATCCATTCTGGCCACCTCCTCTTCACAAGATGGAGGACAGTTTGTTTGACTAACATCTGTTCACTGGTGTTTGTCAGTTGGTGCTAGGACACTTCCAAGAACAAAAAGAAAAGAAAGTGGTCAAAGGCGGGTCTCTGGTAAGTTTCAACACTGTCACTATGTCCCTTCAGCTTCCAACAATCAAACTTCTCAGCTGCGGCAAGGCCTTGGAAAGCAGCGCTGAGCCCTAGAAGCAGTGGCTGCCACTGCATCAATTCGCCCAAACCACATGTTCTTAGACATGTGATGGGCTGAAAAACTCTGAGGGTTGGGTTGAGTGTTTGGAGGTGAGTCGAGAGTGAAACACAGACATGTCACAATGTCACAGAGCATTTCAACAGCACAACTCTTTATCTTTAAGTGCTGGCTCGAACCAGGTGAGTTTGTTGCTTCCCCTTTTGCTAGGGCCACTAAGTGAGGATGGTTTGCATACGAGATGCAGTCAAACAATCTCTCGGGTTCCATGGAGTGTCAACACCAACAAGGACTGGTAGACCTACCGTCAGAAGTTCCACAGTAGCATGTTCCTGCAACCTCTACTTGCTTTGCTCTAGATTGTTTGGCCTCACTCACAATGGCAGGAAGCACAATCAACCTGTTGCTGTGAAGAAGAAGATCTTGAAAAGGCTTGCGCCAGCGAAAAATCATCATGACATGATTGTTGAACATTGCATCGAGGGTTGGACCTGGTGTGTGTCTGCCAGGCGCTTCTACCCCAAGACTACCGTGCCTATCCCGACAAATGCGCGGCCATGTTTTCGTTCAGTGAAGTCCACATACAATTGGGCTGAGATCTTCATCACAAAGCTTGCAAACACTTGGGGTCATGAGTTCACTTGCGAGAAGCTGACCCAGTGGTCTTGGGACCTTTCCACCTCCTTTTCTGGGGTGGGATGCGCTGAATCAGCACAGTACTTAGCACTGTGGAAACTACAACAGATATCAATGTCCAAGTCTCAGTTAGTCGTCCCTGTGGCCCAGGCTGCTTTGTCCTTGCAGGCAGCATCCCGAAGATTCCTCGCCAAGCATGGCAAAACATCGCGGCACTCAGTTGGGAAGAGTCATGTCAGACTGACCAGCAGCTGTGAAGTGAACAAGGATTGCCAGACAGTTCTAAGCAGGACATATGGTCACTGCAATTGGAACGACATTACCACTGTGGACCCGCTAAACCATGACGCTTGCTTTTGCACCACACACCAGCGGCATTGTGTCATCCTGCCCAAGCCAACACCGGGCTGTACCTCATTTGAACTTAACACCGGTTCGAAGCTATTGTGTGACACCCCTTCATACCCTCTCCCTACTGTCCTGCAACCCCTTCGCCGACTGAGGCAAGAAGGTCAATGCCGCGGGTCCAATGCTCATTGCAGTCCTTCAGGAATGTCTAATTAAGGATTACATTGTGAAAACCAGTGCTTGATAAAATCTAACAGAGGGGGTTTGCTCAGGTCCCACATGCATTACTTTCAGTTCCATGGGCAAACGAGAACGGGAACAAAGCCTTCAGTTCAAGCTGCTTCACCAGGCATATTATGACAGGGTTGCACCGACTCAAGACATTTTGCTGATTGAAAATGTACCAGAATACAGCGAAGCGCTTGTCCTTCAGTGTCTCAACAAAGGCCGTGCAGGAACCTGGCAGTTGGAAAGTGTCAGGCTAGACCCACGCCTGTTTGGGTTGGGATGTGCTCGAGCCCGAGTATTTATGATCGTGTTCAAGAAACGCTTGTTCGCCTGGACCAAGAAGTTCACCCTTCAGCAGTTCGTGGAGACCTTCCTTTCCACACCAGGGTTGTGTGCCGAGAGCTACTTCTGGTCAAAAAAGAATTCTTTGTCATGCAAGCTTTCTGACTGCGAAGAGTCATGGCAAATGTTTACCGATACAAAGAATACACAATACACAATGTTTTGTTTGAAGACATGTGGACACCTGACACTTTGTTTTCTAGCGGCATCTTAAGAAGAAAAACTTGGAATCATACAAGAAGCTGGCCAACCACTTCACGCTGGTTGACCTGTCCCAATACCCCAAGAACAATCGTGGACGAGGAAACACTGTTGATGGGGCGCTTCCTACATTGACTACGAACAGTGGCAAGTTGTTTAGCCAGGCAAGGTCATGTCTAGTGCATGTACTTTCCTTCAAGCATGACTTTGTCTTCTCCCTTCCACCTCGATCACCCATCCCAGGCGCATGCGCGGCTGCTCTCACCGGAAGAGCTTCTATCGACCCACGTCCTGCCTATCACCACAGGACAGGCACGCGCAGCATCGGTTCCCAAAGTCCAGATCCAAGGTCTCAGTTCCACAGCACTTGTTCGAGCTGCGGGCAATGCTATGAACTTGCCCTGTATCGGAGTAGTGATGTTAGGAATCATTTGTGGACTGGAAGAGCTGTAAGACACAGCGGCACTGTGGACTAATTCATCCCACTGCAAATTACAGGATCGACAAGCAAATCTCATGCTTCAAAACAATTGCATTGTGCTGAATTGTTCCAACTTGTGTTAGAAGATGTCAGAAGTCAGTGTCTTATTGATACACTGCTTAGCACTGCTTCATCGTCTTGCCCAAGGGAATTTTGTTTCAAGGCTGGGTTCAGGATCCTGGCCTCATCCCGCCAGCACTGGCCTCGCGGGGGAGGATGGGGAAACGGGCTGGCGCGGACAAGGTGTCCAGTAGCAAAGCTCAGCGAGTGGAGCGACCATGGGCTGATCGTATTCTAGAGGGTGCTAAGTGCTGAGGATGCATTGGAGAACTGGTGAACTTGAACAAATAATAGATTCAGGCACCACCAACAAACCTGATGTAGTAATGTTGCTAGCCAAGGTGCTTTGATGTTACCAAAGACGAGCACCCGGCGAAGTATGTACTTGAGAACTTGACCCCAGGAGTTTGCCAAGGGCTGTTGACATGGCTTAATGAGATGTCAGAGGATGCTTTCTCAGATCCTAGCGGCTTCACGTGTCCAGAAAATTGGTTGCAATCTAGTCTCTTTTTGAAAGTAACTTGACAAACCTTATTCAGGGTCTGAATGTAAGGATGATGGCGAAAAGATCTTCCAGGTGCCCTTGTTGGCAATTGGGTACCACATGCCTCCAGACGGCCTGCCTCTCTACCAAGAATGGCTCAACACATGTCAAGATCTGGTTCGTGCTGGGTATGAAAGTGCACGAGAGCCAATTGAACTCTGTCACAGCGACCCCGATGGCAAGGTGACTTTCCTGTCATTGAAGGTATGCAAGGGTCTCGGTCGAGTCTCAATCATTTGGTTCGCAGTCCTATTTAGCTATTTCAAGCTGCGTGACTCAATGACTTCAGCGATGAAGGATGACTTTTGCAGGCCAGGCCTGGGATATTCTGGTGGATATTCTGGGGGGACATTCTGGGTCGCCTCTTGAACATGAAAAACTTAGAATCCTCAAAGGTGATGGTTTCACTGAAACCGTCGCCTTTGACCCAGTGCCCCGCTAACTATTAGTAAGTTACATTTATTGTACACTGAGGAGATTTTTTTCTGACTACCACTGGGAACAGCTAGGAGCCTATCTGGAAACTAAAAACCATTGAGATGTCCACTGGATGTTTGTCGCAGAATATCATCAAAGGTGATGGTGATGGTTTCACTGAAACCGTCGCCTTTGAGCTTCCAGGACTTTGAGACAACAGAAGGTGACCCAGAATGTCCCAAACAAGGTGCCAAGGAAGGTTGAAAGATTTCACTTTTGATACCACCTCAGAACCTTAAGGGTTACACATGGCCTTTCAACCTTGATCCACTGGTTCCTTGGGGAGGATTGTGTTGAGACTGGAGACCATGCTTGCAGGGTTGCTTTAGCCTTCAAAGTTTGTCCTTTACCCTTGTCACTGTTCCCAAGTCTCCACATCAAACACTTTGCTGTGAAAGCTCTCAAACAAATTGTATTTCAGGGTTGGATCACAAATTGGCCCTCAAAGCAAACAAGCGCAAACCCCTTGTCTGCCCTCTCATCCATCAGCCTTCACCGAAGGTGGCTGAAGACAGTGGCCGTGCCAGCGGCTTTCCAGGTGTTTCAGGAAGCAGCCACCTTCAACCTCGAGTGGAAGCGATTGCAGTCGCATGAACAACAGGCTGAGCGCAAGAAGAAATCCTTGGTCCAGAAAGCCATCATTTTTGGGTTGAGGGCATCACAGCTTGTTACCCAGGAGACCTCTGACCAACCTCTATGCAGTTCTTGTTGCTATGGGTTGTGGGCACTCCACCAATTCTAGATGTTTGTGTTCCAGGAGCCACATCGCTACGAAGGGGATGCTGGTTACCGTCAAGCATTCCTGGACGGGGTTCTAGAATACAATCACTTCGGTGCAGCAGCTTTGAACAAGCGCTACCAAATCGAAGAAGCTGAAGCACTGACCCTATTTGGGTTCAAAGTTTCTGGGGCGCATACAGGTCTGTCTTAGCTTTAACCCGACTCTGTAATCATTTCTAGCTGTTTCTTCTGTGAAGACTTCAGAGAGTATCTGGCATAGTGGCACATTTCTATAGACTGGCGCACAAGGTTGGACTCTGTCCTGATGCATGGGCTATGGTCCAACGCCACTTGCATGAATTCCGCTTCGAAGCCTCAGGCTGGAAACATTAGTTATTATTTGGATCCTGCCATGCTTTTCTAGACACTTGCAATTTCACCTGGCACTGGTTATAAATGGTTACCACTCCCTGTCTGTGTGCAGCCTTCAGCCGAGAGACGCTGACCGACACGCGCTGGCTCCTGGGCGGAGTCCCCAGGACATCCAGTGAGAAATGGAACAGTGTTTTGAAAATGACACCTACCAAGCAATGTGCGTTTCTGGAACGGGTCTTCTTTTGTCATCAAATGGCAACAAAGCGATCTGGAAAATCATGCGTTGTTCGACTTTCTGGGGCAGAATGGAGCAAAGAATGTGGTAGGGTCTGTCTTCTTTCAGAGATCCTTTCTGACATGTCTGATGCCTACACAGCTGATGGGAATCGTATGTTTCCTACAGAGACCGTCCACAGCATTGGAAAACGTATGTTGGAAGGGTGCCCTGGGCATGTTTGTTAGTATGTCAATGTCAAGTTTGTTCAATGGTCATGTTTTGAAACTCTTGGGGGGTAGCTTCAGTCATGTATGCCCAGCCAGGGACTACCACAACGAAGCCGATGAAATTCTGGAAATCAGGGACCCCAGCTGGAAGAGCATTGATTCCGGGATGTGGCAGGAGAACGCGCCAACAGTGAAAGATGAAGTTGTTGCCTTCAGTTCGGTGGATGCTAGGCTCAATGAGCTTGGGAAGGAAGCAGCAGAAGCCGTATGGCAGCGTGACCGAATCACCTTTGCGAAAGACATCGCAAACGTCGGTCGCCTGTTCCAGGTAGTATGCAAGGGGGAGAGAAGTCGGAAGACCAACAGAATACTTCATTGCAAAGCACAGAACTCCATAGGTGCAAGTTTGGTCTCGAACTGGATGGCTGAGAACTGCCAGTTTCGTTCTGGCAAACAGGGGGAATTGGACGCTGCTGTGGACAAGGATAGGTTTGTTGCAAACATAATGATCATGTGATTTAAGACCAATATTGAAACATGGTGTCTTTCAAGGGCGTTATTTTGTGTCTTTTGTTCATCTCCTTTCGACCAACCCCTGCCAGTTTGTGGATGTGATGACAGCATCACATAGCGCTTCCTTTGTCGTTTGGACCGACTTCTCCAAGTGCGGACGATTGTCGATGGTGGACTTGAATGCAGCAGTGGACAGCATGGCCCAAGTGCTTCAGAAGAGACCACTGTGTTCAGTTGGGATCATAGTGGGCCCAATTCTCACAAGCGAGCGCATCAAGAATGGCTTGCGTGGAGAAGCCAGGTGGTTTGGTGATCAAAGAGAAAATCTTTGGAGTATTTGTGTTCCAAGGCTCCCAAACATTTGGCTAGCAGGGGTAAAACTACCTCCCAGTCTTTCATGACGTTCTCAGCTGTCTCAGGCGGATTGAGGACAAGCTGGATGCTCGTGGACTTGATTCCATAGGTTTCTCGATTCGCATGGCGACAGCCCCAAGCACGAAGAAGGTACCTTTACAATTCATGGCCTGGATGGTCTTTGAAGAGAATACCATGAAGGATAACCCGTTCTTCTCCTCCCAGTTGGCCGCTGACAGGCCAGCTTGAGCCCATGAACACAAAGTGACACCCAATAAAGTTCAACTTATTTTTTGACCCTCGTTTGCAGCTGTCCTCGATAACACCTCGCCAGATGCACAAGAGACCTCATCGCCTGGGCGCCAGAATCAGCATATGTTGTACCAGTCTGTGAGAAGGATTCTGTATGCCATGCGTCAGAAGGATCTAGGCTTGGGTGATCTCAAGACTTGGAAAGTAAGATTGTTTTGAATGGAAAGTAGTTAAGATGAATGTCAACAGTTTCGAGAAGCATCAACTCCTGCGTCCACTGTCTGTCATGTTCCCATCTGAGTCAGTTGGCCCTATTTGCAACAGTTTGCAACTTCTTTTGTGCCAGGGCGCTCTCCGATGTCCAAGAGACAGCCCAATACCTGGCGGGAGCTGAGTTTCCACGGCAGGTGCTCTTGTCTTTAGTCCAAAGGACAGAGCTGAAATCACCCCATCTAGCAGTGATCAATACGACACCCTATGATGCACACTTGGAGCGAGTGTTGGTGGAGTGGAAGGAGCGAAAGGATTCACCGAATTTCTTCAAGTCCTTGTCCATCTCTATGAAACACCAAGTCGTTCAGTTTTGTGAGCAAACCATTGCTATGGAGATCATGCAGGCCTGTGTTTCTATGATTTTTCCTTCTTCAAGCAACAGTGATGGAAACATTGACGCATGTTGAGATATTAACATCACATGGAAAATCATGAAAATACTTGAAACATCATGGAACCTTTTATGCGGGAGTGCCTGTGAGGCCTGGAAGAAGGACTCCCATTGCATGGGACCTGGCGTCAGAAAATACGACCCAAACCCTCCTGAGATGGAAGAGTCATGGGACCTTGCCACCTTCAATTTCAAGTTTGTGAAGGTCGATCGAATTCCAGGGAAACATGGCTGGGAATCCTTTAAATTCTCCATCCCCACGCCGATACGACAATTGCACAGTGCTTGTGTGGTGTACGGTGGAGAATGGAGGCAGCTGTTGAAAGAATTCGATGAGAAGTTCCTTTTCTGAAAGACTTGGTTGACATATGTTGACATGATGTTGCACTGGGGTGTAAGGAATGCCAATGTCAGTTCGCTCGTTCCCATGGTCAGTGCCCAGGTTTGATGCGAGTTCGGGAACCCCAACACCCAGCGCTGTGGTCCCGCACGAAGATGAGCCACAGCCAGAGGACGATCTTCCAACCTGGGAGGAACCGGAAACCATAGAGGATCTCAATCAGGAGTAC